ATCCTAACGAGCAACAGCTGCTCGTTATCATCTCCTGTGAGTCCTCAATTGTTCCTTACCTCGGTCAGTTCTTCTCCTACGTGCATCCCGAAATAACTCACAGGAGGGTTCTTTGTCAGCCTCTCTTGTCTCCTCCCCACTGATCCAAGGCTCAGTCATTACCTGGGGACCAACTAGTCTCTCTGAGCCCTGCTCGGAGTCAGAACCCTGTCCAGAGCCCTACGCCTCCTCCAAGCATGACTCATAGGGCCCCTCGCTGTCAGAGTCTGATAGCAGCTCCAAAGGCTCCAGCCGAGCCACAACAGCTACCCAACACAATTAAGTGTCTTTTAAAGATGATTTGATTTCAGCTTTAGACTGCAGCCAGCTTGACTAATTGTCTGTGGCAGAGGCAAAACAAACACTAGTTTGTCAGTTTGTAATTATTGTTATTTTTATTAAAAAAAAACCACTGACAGTCAAGAGATTATAGAAGTCCCAGTGGAATTCGTCTATTGGGAAACACTGATGTAGTCTTTTGATGTGGGTTTTGTCAAGCTTCGCCTTGCCTTATTATCCATCTGTTTCTTGGCAACTGATGGGCTGTCTTTTCTAATGTGCTTTTAAAAGCCTCCTGTGACACTTAACATTATACAGGCAGACTTTTCCATACAATTGTATCCTTGTTCCAGCAAAACCTCCAGATGCTTAATCTCTGGGTATTATACCGGTAGCTGTTTTTAGGAATAATCAGATGAGCAGGAACAGAGAAATAGATGGCAATTGAAGCAGATTTTTAAATTCTGAAGCACATTCTCTGAAATAAAAATAAGGGTTTTCTCGTCCTTGGGAACCTGCTTGTCTGTAAGATATATGCCAGCTTCTCTCCCTCATCAAAGAGAGAATTTATCTGGAATTTTGTTTGATTTTGAACCTGTCTTGGACTATTGTACAGTACCAGATTTGGGCTAACAAACATTTGGATGATCACAAGATGGCAGCAAAGAATCAAGTTTTCTGTATTTCCTTTCTGCCCTCTAGCGATGTCCCAAAACTAATAGCCTAATATGGTTGTCCTACCTACACAAAGAGAAAATGAATACGCCAGCCACAATAATTTGTGAAGTGATATGCATATGCATGTTTCTAGGGGAGTAAGATCTTGGCATAGGAATACATACATT